CAAGCGATTCAAACTGTAGTAATTCAGTTAGATCGGTTTTGTTTGGCCATCTAAATAGTTTAGTTCAACTGTTCTGATATTATAAAGCCGTCCCTGGAGAAGAAAATACCGTGAAATATATATCAAATGTGATATCGTTATTAGTCAGGTAGTAACCTAGTGTTACATTGGATGTGTAAATAAATAGTAATTAGATATGCTGTTGATCCTGTTTACGAAGTTCACTTCATTTTGGTCTAACAGGCCGCTTGTGTTCAAATTATTAAATGGGAACCAAAAATTTAGCCGATCTGTTAGTGGGAAAAATTATGAAGGCTTGGGTTTTACGGATGTTTTCTGGTTTATCTGCGGACCAATGTAGTTAAGTGTTAGATATATTATTATAAGCTTAGTTGAGGTCCCCTTGAGACACAACACCCTGGACCCATCTTTTGTAGGTAGGAGAAAGTTCGGGAAGTTTCTCCGGATTTCAAACGTTTTCTTCGTATCGCCTAAGTGCACCCTAAAACTGAAAGTAATACACCAAAATAAAAAAACAGGGTGTTAGGAATTATGAATCAGAATAATGAATCTGGTGTCTTGTGGATCAACTTTAAAAAATATCTAAACTCCACAAACGATATTCTATTAACGTTTTATTCTCGAAAATTTTGGTGAAAAAGAATGCAGATTTAATCTCACTGCAAACCGTTCGACTCGGTGATAAATGCTGTCTTGTCTGAATTCATGGCGAATTTAATAGTGAGTTTGCCATTTATATTTTGACAAAATCACCGTGTACAGTTTGCCGAAAAACAATAATTACAGGGTTAAAAATGAATAAAGCAGGGTCACTAAATCAACGTTGCTTATGGTGCGAGAAATTTGCGCTTGGATACAAAGTAGATAACCGATACGCTTTGCGAGATTACTGTACTACACGTCAAATTTACTCAAACCTCCAAAAAGTCATTCACCTTATGAGCGTATATTGATACCCAACGGCTCCAAAATTCAGTCGCTGAGCTTAAACGGGTCTGGCCAAGAGACGAACAAATATGTGGCGAGGCAAACCTCAAAAAATGTGGTATACACCTCATCGGATGAGCTGATCATTTGACAGAATTATTATATTATTATTATTTATTGTTGTAGTTTAATATAATATTAGAATACCAGTATTCATTTAATGCTAATAAACATAAACACCAAACCAACCTCTTCAAGGCGCACCATCTGGCACCGCAGTGTGTACGTGGTAATGACGCCGATTTGGACCACAGGAAGTCGTTTACCGGACCCAATGAGAAGCTTAGCTACGGAACATTCATGCTATGGTGGAAAGTGTTCTAACTTATCCTGCTTTCGTCAGCACTAAAGCCCAAGATACCTGGGATGTCTCAAAGATCACGTTTTGAGCGTGGTAAGCATGTCCACACATGATTCACTACAATGTATATCGTCGAGGAGAAATCTGACCCATCATTCTACACTTTCCATGTCATACCCGCTCCCCGTTCGTCACACTCTGTAATTCAATGACAAATGTTGAAGCACCAGTTAGTTAATTTTTTGTGTTAATCCTCTGATAAATGAAAGTATCGATGTGACAAAATATACATCTGGGTAGAGAAACGCGCGAAACATTGTAGGCAGCACACCTCTGAAAAAAATTGCATATCGCCCGCAGCACTTCCGTTAGCTCTTGCACAACATGTCAGCAAAATCGCTATTGCCTCTGAAAGCCTTGGAGTTAGATTTGCTAAGGGTCTGGGAAAAGATCATTCACCCGATAGGAACAGATATCATAGCTTGGCCATTTCACTATTGTTGTCGTTTCATTTGCAAATCTGTGGAAGTCGATTCGCAAACATTACCAGCCGATTGTTCAGGTGTGTTTCAGTAAACCGTAGCCAATATCCCAACGCATTGGCATAATGTTCTTTTGCATGCAAATAATAAGGGACAACTGATGAAGGATAGCATGTGTCACTATTACAGTGCGTTCCAACCGCTTTGATCAGAAAATCCTTGATCACGACCGAAACTCATTGGAATCAGTATGACACACTCAGTGTAGGAAGCCTGTGACGTTTTACCATGACAAAGAAAGAAAACACAAATACGGTTTAATAGTCTGCGTAATTTCACCATCTTTAACTGTATAATCACGGATACATTCGGAAAAATGAAGAACTATTCTAAAAAAATATGTTGAAAACGCCCGGCCTCCCATTTTCAAGCAGTCATTGTTATTATTTTATTCCCGTCTTTCGTGAGTGTCCGTGTTGGATTTTTGAAGTGGTAAAGTTATGAATACAAATATATTTTCCGACAGAAATTTCCTTGCGTTTCCTTTATTTTTGTGTCCAAATCACACTGAAACCAGATATCTACAGTGAAAATCAATGACAGTTGTTTCAAATCCGCCCTAACATGCAATTATTCATATCAATTTTACATTAGTTCCAAGAAAAAATGTTTAAGCTAACCAGAGCTGCACATCTAATCTTGCATCGACAAACAAAAGAATGCTGGTTAAGCGACAACTGAATGACGGTCATTACGTAGAAGAATAAAAGGACAGTTGCACATCTTATTCACAGGGAGCAGTCTGCAATTGCAGAAGATGACATGCCTCTTGTGTAAGTCTTTGAACTATTTCTCACAAGTCCTCTATCTATGAACAATGATATGGATGATATAGGAGGAGTATCAGCCAATGAGAACAACATAATCGGCGAGCTGAACCACCTCATCGTGGTGTCGACTGGGTACTCTGGATGTCAATCTGGGTGAGCTAAAAGTTCAGCAACTCCAGATAGGGATAACCACATTACTTGGTTTCAATATGCTTGTTACTTTTGACAATGTTCCATACAAATCATCTGGTGCCTCCGCACCATTTCCAAACAATACACAGGGGAGACTCGTGGGGCTCACTTATGGAGAATGTGGCAAATGCTACAGAGCGAAAGCTGGCTTGGTAGCCCTCCATCGAGTTCAAGACAATAAAAGTGTTGGTACTAATGTACTCGCCCTAAAGACCTGCGCTGATTGCTCTGCATCTTCTAACGGAGATTGGTCTGAGTCATCATTTCCGGCACGCATACCAAACCCAGCATAATGCAGATAAGTTTGGCCGAGTGAAGTATTCTGGGGCCTGCTGGTCCCAATAAGTGTCACAATTGCTTTTGCGCCTGACTAACAACTATCCATCTCGCACGATGTTGGCGATAGTGGAGCAGTGTTTCCCGTTTGGTCAGCTTTAAGCACCAAAACCAGGTTACGGGTGCTAGACTGTCAAGCAGAATCGGACGAATCATCATCTGGTAGCCCTGTCCAAACTATTGGTCAAATAACTGCCTGCTCGTAAGATGGAGATAGCTAAATTGTCTGGTTTAAACGAACCGTGGATTGCACCGTGTCACTCTTGGAATCCCATGCTGACAGTTCGTTTGCTAGGGTTGACCTTCTTGCATTTGCCCGAGAGTTGCACTCTGGCATCATGACAGTGGAGCAAGCCCTGTCGCTTCTGGACCTCCACACCCCCAAAATAATTCCGCACGCATGACAAGCTATATTGGGCCGTCATCAGTTAGTGGTGCCGATCAAGCGAAAGGAGTTCCGCCGATCCAACTACGCCGCCATTCTGACCACATACCACCAAAGGGTCTGCCATGCTCGATAGGTTATGAAAGGACTTATGCAAAGGTAAGTGCGGTCTACCTCTAGATGCCGAGCAGTATTGGAAACATGTGTTATCAGCTATTAAAACATGTAAATAGCCGTCTTAGTTGCGTAGTAGTACCATCTGATCGGAGCTTATTGGAGCCGAGTACAGGAGAGCAAGCCGGCTTTACGACTCTTTTGATGGGCAATTCATCCCCAGGCCTGGACAAGCTCACGACCAGGATGCCCCGCCGGTTCAATACAAAGGCGCTCTTTGGGTATTTCAACTTACTCCTTCTACTTGAGGGTTGTCCCCACATGCGTTTCGTGCCGTAATATCCTAGTTTCCAAGGTCCCGAATCCGACTTAACCGGATCAACTGAGACCTATCTCCGTGTCATCCTTTCTTGTCTGGCGCTTTCATAAGGTGCTTGCTGATCACTGGAGCAGTAGATTGCAACCGCAATCACACCAGTTTGTATTTCTACGGTTGATTAAAAGCTACATTTTTGTAACATGCCCTGCTTCGCTACTCTTCAGAGACGGCTTCTTGCCTCAGCTTGGCATTTGTTGATATATCAAAAGCGTCTGATTCGGTTTTGCGTGACACCATCCGCAGATCTACCGAGGCGTTTGGAGCACCGTCACCTCTAGTTCGATACATCGCAAAGTGCAATGAGAATGCTTTAGCAGTTTTCCCCAGCTCCGAGGTTCACTGCCACAGAGGTGCGAGGCAAGGTGATCCATTCTTCCCATTATTATTCATTGTGGCAATGGATGATGTTCTTGGATGGTCGATGCCGCAACCGGGACATCAGTTCCATGACACCCTAGTAGCTACCTTTGCTGACGATTGGGTCGTGCGTGCATAGTCAAGCTTGCCTTAAAATGAGACCTGAAGCTGTTACTATCGAGTTGGGAATAGTTGGTATGAAAAGAAATGCCCGAAAGACGAAAACGCTGTTAATTTGTAGGGACCGGAAACATCGGGCGAAAGCGGTCTCAGTTGAGCCATTTTGCTTCGCCGAGGAACTCATCACTCCTCTGGGTCCGACAGACACCGCAACGTACTTGATCATTCCCTTTACTTTCCAGGGGGAAGATGTCCTCAACCACCGACGGCGGCCGGTCAAATTGCTCGATGAGGTGACGCGTGGTCTGTTAACGTCGTATAAAAATGGAGATCCGGAAGAAACATCTGATACCATCTGATCAATCGTGGTCGGCCAGGTCCACCAAAACACTCCTAAAAGCCTGAACAATTGAACCGCTTGATTTGTTTGTCGCTGGCTTCGTCTACCGAAGCACATTCCAATCGGTAAACAACGTGAGGACTTGGTATCTCAAATATGAGTGCAGCAATCAAGAGGTACCGGAGAGCGCACATAAAAGATCACTTTTCTCTACGGTGCCGAGTACTACGCAATGAGGTCAACGATTCCGCATATGGCGAGATTGTTCGGGATCTCAGTCTTCTGATCCGAGTCTATGGTGCATGTGTAAGCACCAAGGACGAGCTGATGGCTGCTTGGGGTAAAAGTCCGCACAACAGCGTTGTCGGTGGCGGTTTACCAGTGATTGTCGCTTAGCATCATTCTGATCGATGGCTTGTGTTTGCAGAACGAATGTGGTATCCAGCTCCGATGCATGCTGCAATGTTCGGTACGAGATTTAGAAGCGCTCGGCATGGATATGGTTGTCAAATTTTCTTCTGTCGTAAAAGCTGTGACCAACCGGAAAGTTTGGTGCATATTTTGCAGGACTGCTGGATCATGCATGACGCTAAATGTGCTCGTCATATCGGGTTGCAAGGGAACCCGCAAAAAGTCTCCGTCGCCTGAGGTCCACCATCTTTGAGGAGTTGAAAGAACCTACTTTGAGTTCCTTCATCAAGTCTCACCGAATCGCGGCTCTGGAGCTACGAACAAGCGTGATAGACGTCAGCATACTCTTGAATGTGCGCGGAGTGACTGTGTGAAATGAGAAAGACCAGAAGTGTGAAGTTGATCAATATTCCATCGCTCTATTCTCAGCCGTACATGCAATTGTCTGTGGTGTCGACATTTTGGTCCACCAAACGATGATCATCTCTTATGGAGGGATCTGCTTTCCTCAATCCGCCAAGGCAGTTATTGGACTGGGACTTGCTAAGATCACAGTCAGCGACTTGTGTTTGCTCGTCATTGTGGGCTCTTTGCGCACTTACTTACTAGTTGCGTGATACGTGACGTTGAGTGTAAATTCTTGTCATTACATCTCATACCAGACTTAGTATGACAGATATTTGTGCCTGATGCGCCAGCCTTGACTGTGCTAGCTCTTGCCGCGCTTGGGAGACCATTCAGCATTGTTTGTCCTTCCTTCGGCTGTTGGTATTTACACGCGCGTTTCCATACTAAAATTCCTACATGCGTTGAGCTTCATCTTGTCTGACTGGAACTGTTAGTGGCATGACTTCGAAAGAGACGTTTCTCCCTTTTATCTCATTTTCACCTGTAAGCATTTCACTTTCATCGCTTGCATTCACTTTTCATGTCAGTGACAACGCCCCTCAAAAATAAATGATAGAAGATAGTTGTCCGGCGAACAGCCTGTGATCACTGTTTTTGTCGGTAACCCTCAAGGTAGATAGAATCAAACCCTCAGACTTTGGAACAATCATCTCAGAATAACACCGAACTGAGTGGTTTCACATCTCGTTCACTTTACAACTTCAACTAAATTAAGCCGGATTTGCTTCAGTCGAACACTGATACCATTCAATATTAGTCTTTTGCTGTATTGTAGCTGGAATGTCTGTATCAAGTGACACTCATCCGGGTGGAGAAAATCAGCAAAAATTACTGATTTGCACGGTTCTAGTTGATTATCACTGATGCTGAGGTGTGAGTAAATAAAATGTAATTGCGAAATACATTGAAGGCTGGTAGACAACCGTTAAGTGAATTTGTGTGAACGCTCCATCTCAAGTAAAATCACGGTATACAAACATCTAGACTGCAAATCGAACAGTCAAATATGAAATAAGTTAGCAAGGCTGCTGGAAGCATTACAGTGGGTCGAAGTCAGTGGGCTATCTGGCCCGTTTGTTTGCTGAGGCTTGATGGGTTGGGTAAGGTATAACTAGTGTCAAGAATAAATACAGTAGTTGTCCCGGTTGCTTACAATACTCTTGGGAACACCGCCTTAGGTTGCTCAGTGATGGAACTGTTCGGGATAATCTATTTTGCACCATAAGTCACAGAAAATAACGACGGAAGAATCGGGCTTAGAACTAGTGTGAGGAGCTTATCGATTTATAATCTTCTGCGTTTTTCAGATTGGAAGCTATAAAGTCCATATTTCTACGGGGTTTTATGATGATTCCCCCTCTATCTCAGACACTAACTTTTGGGTTAAACAACACCACTTCAGCGGGCAGTGGCATTACTGACGGCAACTTGAATGACCGTAAGGGTTTGCGGTTATAAGCGTGGTTGAAAACACGCAGTTGCGGTCACATATCCTAAGGTCCTTACACGTGTGACAAGCTGAAGTTTATGCTCATACTCGCGCCTTGTATAATTTACTTTTTGGAACGTGACGTATCTTCTAAGGTTTGTATGAGTAATACTCTAATGGTCTCTGGGGAAGAAATTCATAGGTTCCCCTCAACGGGTATCGTGAGGATATAAGCAGTCTGTAAAAAGCGACTGCAGTTTTTAGGCCTTTAACTAACTTCATAGTCGCTGTTTTTTACTACATTAATGAAACATCGTTAAATTAACAAGCACCCGCTCGTAACATGTCCAACAGGTTTCTTCGCACGTACACAATTTTGAATAGTGTTCTTGGGCAATAAACGCGCATGTCATATTAAGTATCAGTTAAATCGCAATTTTTTATGCTCCCGTTTGGGGTGTAAAGCAAAACATCCGTGGTAATACGACATCTTTAATCGTCAAAACTTCAAGACTGAATAAGTTTCAGAAGAAATAAATTGAATACCGTGGACAGGTTTGGGATGATTCTGGTTAACTTAAATTCGTCGAACGAACATTTTTCAGTCTGAATGTAGACCTGAAGTGACTTTCTTAATTGCTCTAGCCCTGCGTATTTCCTTCTGTTGCAGCGCAAATATGGGTATAAGTATCCAAGTCCGAAATGCGGAGCCAAATCTTTGTAGAAAGATCAATGTCATGGTTAACCCTGCTAGACTTATTAGGATAGTCTAAACGTACCGCTCAGATCTTTTTCAGCAAACGGGTTTGCTCTTCATCGTTTTAAAAACGAAGCTGTAGTAGTAGTATGCAGCAATACAAGGAACAAATCAAACAAATTTACAGGTAGTATTCATCCAATACGGCATCAAGGTACAAAGTAGAGTGGATTCTGGACAGGGATATTTCAACCGACATTTGACCGTTTCAGCCTAGTTAGGAGGTACCGAGGTTACATCTGTGAGCTGATGCCTGGAATCGATCTTCATCTCTTACAGTACAAGATCCACCATGCTTACAGGTGAAACTGAGAGTTCCTGATGACACCATGTTAGCTGCATTTCGTTTCGATGACAATTTTAGCCTTGGCCATGATACACTGTTCTTTATTGCATCAGGATACTAAATCAAAAGAGGAAAAAATGCATGGCTGGAACACGCTTTCAAATCTGTTTTTGTAATACGTTTCCCTCAAAGAACTAACCGGAAGCGGAAAACACTTCCGGACAGTGTGACAAGTGGTGACATTCTAATAGATCTTTCACAGCTGCACCCACCCTATACAACTTAATTCCGTTGTCTCTGTCTACTTATGGCCAACTGAAGACCACTCAGAACTACACCAATAAGTACTGGTTTCCTGGAAATTAAGCACAAATATCAACATTAGTCTGATTAGAATCAAGCAAGCATTACGGCAAAATAGAACATTGCATCCAACGCGCCCCTTCCTGTGTATGCAGCACAAAGGATCACATTCCAGACATCATCATTCTCCTTTCGATTTGGGAGAGTTTTTTGTTGAAATCATATATTTAATAACTAGGACAAAGCTAGGTCAGCCTGATCTCCACAAAAATGCTGGGAATATCCTCCAAAATGCTCGACCCAATCCATAAAATTGATAGCAATAACAAGAAACAAAACAGCAATGTGGGATTAATTGACAAGTCGCTACCAGTGCTCTACAAGTATCGGGAAGAACCCGAAAAATGAGATGAGAGGTTTGTCCTATTCATTAACTCCCCCAGAAGAGCAAGTGCCACTTTGTTTTTGTCAAAATTTGCTTATATTTATTTTCGCTAAGGTTCCCGAGCAAATCGCACGGGAGTTATCATAAGGATATTTTCCTTTAACTGGGAGATGTCAAACGTCTCTCGGGAGAAGGGACATTAAACCACATGAAATTACATTAGCATGCTTTACTAAGATTTCGGTACAAAATCGGAGTGCTGCACCACCAGGCGTTCCTTGATTCACATAGGCCTGAATTTGATTTCAGCTGCCTCAAGGTTCCCGCGCGTTTATCAAAAGGAATTTTCCTTGTGAGATTTTGGGATATCTCAATATTAAACAGAAATAAACATTTAGCATCAGTGGCTGACCGAACCAAGCTGTGCAACCGACTGGAAGTTAAAGGTGGCAATTGTACAACACCTGCAAAGATTGTAATATGAAACAACAATAAAAAGCCACTGAGTGTAGTCGCTGAATTTTTTCTGCATGTTACTGATTTCTGTGAGTTTTAATCATTCTGTGGTATTAAAATGATAAATTTAGCCGCCATATTTTTGGCGCGCTCCAGAATCTGGATTGCTTATGCTCACTCATACTTGTCTTTTAGTCCTTGGTGTAAGATGAAACCATCACAAATCAAATGGCAAGTTCGCATCAGATTTCTGGGAGCCCGAAATTGAAAATGGACTACCAGGGTGGTATTGTGTGCAACACGCTCTAAACAATCATACAAATGTTGGCATAAATCACACCACGGACGTGAATGTTCACGATGGGCATCATGTAATTCCGGGCTCAAACAATAAAAGATTCCACATAATAGCGGCTTAATAGTTGTGTCCAACTACTGCGCTAATGAAACACTTGCGTTTTTAAATTGAGTAAAAATAAAACATCCACGAAATATTTGGAATTTTTCAATAAACGTAGTAGTGAGATCCTGTATCTGACTGCTAACTTATTCTGAAACATCAACTCATTCCTGCTAGTAGGATTCCAATTGAGAAAACAGTTATTGGCTTCTTTGGATTTTCCTATCGGCTGTTGCTATTTGGTGGACTAACTGTCGTTAAATATAAGTCAGAGGTAAACGTGCGCCATATCAAGCAGGAAATAATTATGCCATGGACTAGCAACACTTTCTCGAAGTCAAGCACCGGGTACACATCTATGGGTCGTTTGGTAAGATTTATACTGCCATCAGTTTCATACATCCCGAGGTAGTTTCTAAATGAATCCTAGCTTGCGTAGATAACTATGAAATATGTATGGCACCGATAAGATGCAGTGAAACACCCAGGTTAGATGCTGACGCTAATCCACTCACCATGGGTTGATCGGCTAAAATAATTGCATCA